TGCATGCTACTACACTGACTGTTGGAAAGACGCTAGGCTTTAACGCGGTGGGAAGTGTTTCTCAAATGTTCCACCAGCTGAACACCCACAGATCTGTCAGATCAGCTGCGCCACTCACTTCACACACACATCTCGATTGGCTGTATTAGGAAACACGTCAATTGACGCCTAATGCAACTGGTATCACCATGGCTTCTACCAGCTTCAATGTCACAAATGTCTCTCGAGGGACTATGAATAAATAGCTGTCTTGTCTTGATTGGAACTACTCGAAACGAAACGGCACGACATAAAGGGACAGTCGGAGAAATAAAGATGTTGGGGTTTTTTTTTTTTTACCCCCCTGTAATTCAATTACATATTTCTGATTTAGATTTAACACATATATATAAAAAAAACAAAAAAACCCATCCCGATATAGAAGCTCTGGCATTAGCAAACCAATTTCAAGTTGTCTTTTACACTACATTGTTAAAATAGCCTTCTGCAGACTGGCCATAACTACAGCATTAGAAGCCTTAAAAAAAACAACAGAAAAACAACCTCATCCATTACTGTGATTCAATTGTGCAGTGGAGTCATTAAATGTCTGTGTTTAAAGAATGAGATGGCCATATTTATTTGATCCACTGCTCCAAAATCTGTTTCAATCGCAATTACCAGTGAGAACATTGGTCCTCTTGAATATTAAGATATGACTAAATTTTTTTTTTCTGTTTTGTTTTTTTTTTCAGATAGTATGAGGATCTCCATTTTGTCTGGTCTCTACTTCAATTGAAATTTTTTAAATGACAGTAATGAGCACTACACTAACACCTATTTGTGCGGCGCAACAGCAAGTAACATTTACCTTAAATGGCTGCTAAATTATAAGTGCAGAGTGCTACAACAGTGACACAATGGGGAGGCTTTAACTGCTACACAACACAATTATGTTCCCGCCAATGCTGATTCATTTGTTTATCATATTTTCCAATCAACACTAAACCAATCAGCGGCTATTAGGGGGCTATTAGAAAATGTTTCAACTCCATTTGTTCTTTATTTGCCTTGGAAGGATTAGAGGTTTTTTTTTTTTTTTTTTTTTTTTTACGTGAGCTGATATGGTTGTTCCCTTCCTACCAAATAAATGGCACTCATAAAACCCAGACGTCTGCTCCAGAGTGTTGCAGGAAGTTTACATTAAGTGTCTGGATAAATCCATGAAAGACGGCACTGCCAACCTGCCTTCAATGAAATACACTAATGGTCCCTTGACACATTACAGAAATGAGATGACATCCCTGCCACCATTTTCATGTTCTTTAAACTGAAATGTTTTTTTTTTTTTTATTAAAGCAAAGAGTCATTAACATGAGACATGTCTCAAGGCGGGAAAGGGCGAGCAGGAAAAACACGTCGTGTCGCACAAAACTCTCGTTCTTGTCTGGCGGCCAACTGACTTCAACGCTGATCCAACAAACGCTCTCTTTATCAGCGGTTCAACGCTACGTTTACAGTACCTTGCAAATGAAAAACTAATCACCTGATGGTTGTAGGGGAGGCCAGGAGGAGTCTCTACTCAAGCCTTGTCCGTCAGAACAAACCCTTACTGAGCAGAGAAGGGGTTTGTGTCTCTGTCCCTGTGAAGCCATACCTACTACTAATGGTATAAGCCAGTGTTTCCTGACCTTTTTTGAGCCACGGCACACCACCAAACAAACATCACACCAAAAGTATATGTAATGAAATAATAATAATAATAATCCAATTTAACCCTAGAACAGTACGGTAAAATTAGGAACACCATCACTAATGTTGGGTATATTTTACCCGATATAATATCCCGGATAAAATATAGTTTTCATCCATTTATGTAAAGGTACAACACTGTACCGGTACTCTTCTGTAATTTCCCAATATACAATATCACATAAAATTTTAAAAAAAAGGTACCATGGGGGACCCTTTAAAAAGGCAGCAAAATTATTGAAAAATCAGGTAATCCTTAATGGGAAATTTCCAAACAAAACTAAATAATAGAGTCTTCCTGCATCACATATTCCACTTGTAAAATATATTACTCTCTATCACTAATGTCAGGTAAAAAAAAAAAAAATCACCCAAACGCATTCATCTTGAAAAAAACCATAGATCACTAATGTCAGGTAAAAAAAAAAAATCACCCGAACGCATTCATGGGAGGAGGGAAACAAACATAGCATTAATGGACATCAGTGAGTAGCCTGAAGCTACCCAAGGACCCATGCAACTCAGACAGCAGCAACACAATGAAAATCACATGACGTTAGTGTTCCGGGGGTTAAACTGACAACATTTTTTAAAAAATGCACTCCTGTTTAGTTGAAGACAACTCTGATATACTGGCAGGAATTGAAGAAAGACACTCACAAAGATCTTCACCAGCTCTGATGATCTAGTTTTGGGGTTTTCATAGCCATCTGCTGCCACCTAGCAGAAGAGTATTTCATTGTTCTGCCTTCCATGCTTTGACGAGCGAGGAAAAATTATATATGCATATATATGGTGTGCACTGTTTCCGTGGCCAGTCATCTCGGTCGAAACTGAAGCCGCATCATTTGTATCCGACGTTGAAAAGAAGTTTTTTTTTTTGCAAGGATGACGTGACATCTCAGGAATGAGGGAAGCAGTGACACTGCATATCTGCCTACCAATGTTACATGTAGTACATTGTGAACGCAGAATACTAGCTCCGAAATATTCCTAATCCTCACCGTTTTTTTTTTTCTTCCTCCATCAAAATTCACGTTTATCTTATTTTGCATGTTAAATGAATGAGGGAAAAAGATTATATGGACGTTAGTCAAACGTCAAATTAAGTCGATGAGTTAAATGTCAGTGAGGAATATTAGCTTGCGTTCACGGGCGACTGAAGGGAGCGCTAATGATGTGGTACTGGCTTATCCCCAGCAGCAACAACCACAGCCTGTGTGATCTGCTACAGGTTGCCAAGCAGAGCTCATGTACAGAAAGCTGGTCATTACTGAAACAACATTGCCGCACGTTATCCTTCTCGTAGAGGATAGGGAAACACGTGAAAAACATTAATTGCCTGACACAATATACTGGCTGAAATGTTCTTCCTTAATGCAATAAAGTAATTAAAGAGGCAGTGTTCTGAGCAGATCGTATGTCCGTGTGTACTCGCTCCCATGGTTACACTGAGAACTACCGAGTCAAAACTCGGCGGGGAAAATCAAAAGGACCTGTTTTGTTCAGAATTGCTTTTTATGGTTTTTTAATGGTGTCATATTAAATATATATTCACGTTGTATTTCGACAACCATTTTTATTGCTCGTGGCCAAACTGCAAATTGGAACTTCCCACGTGGAAAAAAATGTAAATTAAAATTTATAAAGATTGCTTTCCTTTTTTTTGGGAACAACTGTAAAGCATTCACAACTACTCAATTTTTTTTTATTTAAATATTTTTATAATTGTTCATGTAAGGTACAGGTGTCAAACTCAGGCCCACGGGCCAAATATGGCCCATGCTGTAATTATATTTGGCCCGCGATATCATGGCCTACCATTATATATTTACTATATACTGGCAGGATTTGAGGTGTTAGCCATGTATGCACACATACATACATACATATATAATAATATAGCACATACATTTTCGGTTGTTCTTTTGTTGGGCCCGTCACTAAAGATTTACATTAAGAAGAAACAAAGAAATATTACAGACGCGCGTCTTATTTCAAATTTAATTTCTGGTTGCTCCAGATTTAATGTTCAAACGCAAAACTAATGTTTGTTTTCATACGAAGGCAGCAATTAAACGAATTTAAAAAAAAAAAAAAAACCATCTCAAACGACCCAAAGATTTTTTTTTTTTAGCAAAGAAAAACAAGCAGGATATGATGAAAGTAAAACGGGCTTCGTATCAACGGCATCTGGGGAGATGAATCATAAGGGTTTAATCCACTGGGATTCGCCTGACGCTCGGTATTATAAACATCAGGCCAAAAGTAAATGTGGCTTCTGCTAAAACTACTATATGTGTACAAAAGTGTTTGGTTAGAGCCGTCATTGGTTAGATCTTACACCAGCATCATTCAAGCGGTCCTCACCCACATTTATTGTAAATGAATGAATGTTAAAAAAAAACAAAAAATCTGCTTAGTGCTTCTCATTATTCTCATCGCCGATTGTTCCATTCAAACCAAAATTGAACGCTGGTGCTGCTCCTTGGTTGATTTGATCTGCTGTGAACCACAACACGCTTCCAGTTCACATGTTTGGATCCCCTTGGCCTGCTGTGTTGATTTCAGCCGCTCTACAATTAATGACATTTTAATGGGCACGCGTAGCAGGAGGTCGTGGTGCAGGAGTTAAAAAACATGAAGTCATTCCCGCTTACATTAACAGATGCATGGTTATCTGGAACTGACCAACTTCTAACATCACTTTTCAAAACCCTTAAAGAATGGCAGCGTGACCTCAATGTGATTAGGAGAATTTTTTTTTTTTTTTTTTTTTTTACTATTTGGTCATTAATAACTCTGGCTTTCGTGGCCACTGTGTGGACAGCAAACATTTTAACATTGTAAACTTCCATTGCTGTGCTGCAGTGCTGGGTTTTGTCCATGTTGTTTTGCATGTCGACCTGCGCCAATCATTTTTCTAATCCATGGAGCTTTTTTTTTTTTTTTTTCATCTACTCCTTTGTGTGGCTTTATTCCACACGGGGCCTTCGAACCACAGTCCGTGACTTATATAACAGCTTTTAACTGAAACCGCAGCCTCAGTCAAGTGGTTTGGCATCGGCACAGTCGAATGTATTGTTTCCCTGACAATTGTTTCTTTAACGGTGCCACAAACGGGGAGCAGAGGGGGAAAAAAAGGGGAACATACGCTTCTGGTGCTTTTGAATGGCTAATAAAAACCCAACAATAATGTTATTTATTTGGTTTGGTTTTGTGGGGGAAAAAAGCACGTTGTCGGTCGGTGCATATCAATCAAGGCTCACCTACCAGATGGTGTGTCGGTGCTCGGGCTCTCTTTTTTTTCTTCCAGCGACGTCCCCCAGATTCGCTCGCTCTCTTCGGTCTACGGATCCTTCTGCGTTCCCCAACACCAGGTGTGACTCGGATCTCTCTCGCTCGCCGTGTTGTATTCCCCAACGCTGTGACCAGCGGCTGAGTGAACTAGCAGGATATGTGATCATGTGCTGCCAGCTCCTCTCTCTGTCTGAGTGTGTGTGTGTGTGTGTAAGGAATTGCTCCCTCCCTGCTGCGGCAGCTCTACATGCTCGCGTGAAGAAATAAAACGTGCCCGACGCGCTGGCGAACTTGTGCACCCTATTATGGTAATCAGACGCTGGTTCGGTCCACGCTCGTTCAACCGTGGCACCTCTGCAAATACGCTGGCTCTCAGCTGTGTCCGCTGTTTGCACTGAATAAATTGCCCCCCCCCCCCCCCGAGACGCTCGGTATTTTTATTTATTTGTTTATTTTTAAGAACGACAGTAAAAAAAAAAAAAAAAAAAAAAATTCCTATCCGTCGGTTACAGGGACGAAAGGAGCTGTGGAGAAGAGAGATTGAGGCGAAGAGGGATGAGAACAGGAGGAGGAGGAGGAGGAAATTTGAGTTTAAAAAGCCTTCCTCTCTGTTCCTCTCCGTTTCTTTGATATGTTTTTTTATCTCCCTTTTTCCATCTATCTATCTATTTAAATTCTATCTTCTCCTCCCTAAAATACTATCCCAGTGTTAATGCAGACTGTAGTCCATTTAAAATGCTTTTGTTTTTTTTTTTTTTTGCACAAAAGCAATCACAAACACACGTCAGGCAGTGTTAGGTGTTTAGTTAATCGCCGCTTTGGACTCACGTGGCAACCAATGTTCAGTCTGTATGGAGTTTGCAAGGTCCTTTTCCTCAAAAAGCCGGGTTGGAACTACAAGAGATGTATGAATGCAAACTACTCCATAACATACTAAAAAAAAAAAAAAAAAAAAAGTCAAAACAAATACTAAAAAACAGACTAGCCCGCCTATTCTCCGCGTCCGTCGCAGCAGCCCGGATCATTTCTCGTGTGCGCTGCTTTATTCCCGCATCCGAGTCATGATCTTTGTAACGCGGATCAAGTACAGTCGCGACGAGTGCAGGGCGATCTGGAAAGATCTCAGTAAAATGTGTGCTGACAGAATTGGACTTTTCACCCTCCCCCCCCCCTCTTGAAATTACCGCATTACACGTTTTGCAAATCGATATCCGATATATTGAAATACGTCCACGCCGCAGACAGGTTTTTGCTTAAGTCATCATAGCTTCCTGTTTTGGTCATGTTGTGTTTTTTTTTATCTTAAAAAAAATCCTAAAATTTTCGGTGGCCGAATTTTTTGGTGCATCCCTAATGCTTATTGGATGGCGAGAGTGTTGACCTGAGGTCAAGGAAAGGCGTAGTGAGAAGAAGTATTAATTACCCTCTACTTTTTGAGGTCAGGTACATTTAACGGCTATGACAAAAAAACAGACTAGCCCGCCTATTCTCCGCGTCCGTCGCAGCAGCCCGGATCATTTCTCGTGTGCGCTGCTTTATTCCCGCATCCAAGTCATGATCTTTGTAACGCGGATCAAGTACAGTCGCAAGAGTGCAGGGCGATCCGAATAGATCTCAGTAAAATGTGTGCTGACAGAAGTGGACTTTTCACCCCCCCTCCCCTTTTGAAATTACCGCATTACACGTTTTGCAAATCGATATCCGATATATTGAAATACGTCCACGCCGCAGACAGGTTTTTGCTTAAGTCATCATAGCTTCCTGTTTTGGTCATGTTGTGTTTTTTTTTATCTTAAAAAAAATCCTAAAATTTTCGGTGGCCGAATTTTTTGGTGCATCCCTAATGCTTATTGGATGGCGAGAGTGTTGACCTGAGGTCAAGGAAAGGCGTAGTGAGAAGAAGTATTAATTACCCTCTACTTTTTTTAGGTCAGGTACATTTAACGGCTATGACAAAAAAACAGACTAGCCCGCCTATTCTCCGCGTCCGTCGCAGCAGCCCGGATCATTTCTCGTGTGCGCTGCTTTATTCCCGCATCCGAGTCATGATCTTTGTAACGCGGATCAAGTACAGTCGCGACGAGTGCAGGGCGATCTGGAAAGATCTCAGTAAAATGTGTGCTGACAGAATTGGACTTTTCACCCTCCCCCCCCCCTCTTGAAATTACCGCATTACACGTTTTGCAAATCGATATCCGATATATTGAAATACGTCCACGCCGCAGACAGGTTTTTGCTTAAGTCATCATAGCTTCCTGTTTTGGTCATGTTGTGTTTTTTTTTATCTTAAAAAAAATCCTAAAATTTTCGGTGGCCGAATTTTTTGGTGCATCCCTAATGCTTATTGGATGGCGAGAGTGTTGACCTGAGGTCAAGGAAAGGCGTAGTGAGAAGAAGTATTAATTACCCTCTACTTTTTTTAGGTCAGGTACATTTAACGGCTATGACAAAAAAACAGACTAGCCCGCCTATTCTCCGCGTCCGTCGCAGCAGCCCGGATCATTTCTCGTGTGCGCTGCTTTATTCCCGCATCCGAGTCATGATCTTTGTAACGCGGATCAAGTACAGTCGCGACGAGTGCAGGGCGATCTGGAAAGATCTCAGTAAAATGTGTGCTGACAGAATTGGACTTTTCACCCTCCCCCCCCCCTCTTGAAATTACCGCATTACACGTTTTGCAAATCGATATCCGATATATTGAAATACGTCCACGCCGCAGACAGGTTTTTGCTTAAGTCATCATAGCTTCCTGTTTTGGTCATGTTGTGTTTTTTTTTATCTTAAAAAAAATCCTAAAATTTTCGGTGGCCGAATTTTTTGGTGCATCCCTAATGCTTATTGGATGGCGAGAGTGTTGACCTGAGGTCAAGGAAAGGCGTAGTGAGAAGAAGTATTAATTACCCTCTACTTTTTTTAGGTCAGGTACATTTAACGGCTATGACAAAAAAACAGACTAGCCCGCCTATTCTCCGCGTCCGTCGCAGCAGCCCGGATCATTTCTCGTGTGCGCTGCTTTATTCCCGCATCCGAGTCATGATCTTTGTAACGCGGATCAAGTACAGTCGCGACGAGTGCAGGGCGATCTGGAAAGATCTCAGTAAAATGTGTGCTGACAGAATTGGACTTTTCACCCTCCCCCCCCCCTCTTGAAATTACCGCATTACACGTTTTGCAAATCGATATCCGATATATTGAAATACGTCCACGCCGCAGACAGGTTTTTGCTTAAGTCATCATAGCTTCCTGTTTTGGTCATGTTGTGTTTTTTTTTATCTTAAAAAAAATCCTAAAATTTTCGGTGGCCGAATTTTTTGGTGCATCCCTAATGCTTATTGGATGGCGAGAGTGTTGACCTGAGGTCAAGGAAAGGCGTAGTGAGAAGAAGTATTAATTACCCTCTACTTTTTTTAGGTCAGGTACATTTAACGGCTATGACAAAAAAACAGACTAGCCCGCCTATTCTCCGCGTCCGTCGCAGCAGCCCGGATCATTCCACACAATACCACCCCGGGGGTACGGCCAAAAAAAAAAAACCTGTTAAAAAATGCAAAAGGCAAAGTCAAGATGAAGGCCAATTTTTTTTTTTTTTTTTTTTACTTCATTTAATAAAAGAGTAGTGATTTATTTTACGCAGAGCCTTTAAGGCCGTCATTTGTGTTACTTTCAAAGCCACGGGGGTGAAAAATGTAACATAAAAACGTATTATTTTGAATAGTTAAGTGATTTTTTGATATGACTAAAGACATGCAGCGGAAGACAGAGCACGCGTGTTAAAATTGTGGTTTTCCTTCCAAATTGCCACTTGGGTTAGAGTCCTCTATATAAGGAATATAAGGAGTATATATACTGTTTATATAAAACGTAATATTTTATACATATATATTTATATATATGTATTTATATATAAATATATAAGGACATAAAGTCTATAAGTCGCACTTTTTTTTCATCCTTTGGCTGGGTTTACAACTCATACTTAGATGTGAGCCTTGTGTATCAGTATCTGCTACTCCTGTAACCACTGAATGTTTACATGTTCGTTATTTTTCCACTGGCAACCGTTAGAGGGCACTGCTGCGACTTATACTCAGGAGCAACTTATATATGTTTTTTTCTTCTTCATTACGGTTTTGTTTTTTTTGTTTTGTTTTTTTTTGGGCTGGTGCGACCTATACTCCAGAGTGACTTATAGTCTGGAAAATACGGTAATACCATTGACACATCAGTTGTCCTTGAGAAGAGAGTGTTCCTGTTGCCATGCTGATTTTGTTTTTTTTTTTTGTACATTTTTTACTTCCTAAAAAAATAATAATAATAAAAGGAGAAAATAATGATTTTAAAGTTCACTCAGGGAGATACACAAGTGTTTGGCATTTAAAAGATGTACGTTTTTTTTTTTTTTTTTTTTTAAACTATGAAAAAATGTTTTTGGGGTAATCGGTCCTTAGATGTGAAGCATGTTTGAAACCCCTGCACATTTAATATTAACAGTAGTAAATTTAGTGTTGTATTTAGTTGGAATACTTCATCTTGGTTTTAAACATGTAATTGCTAATGTTATTATTATTTTTGTTGTTGTTATTATTATTGTTTTTGTTGTTGTTGTTATTATTATTATTTATGTTAGTATTATTATAAATATTATTATTATTATAAATATTATTATCATTTGTAGAAGTAGTAGTCGTCATATTAATAGCAGTAGAAGAGTTAGCAGTAAAAATTGCCGCCGTTTGATTAAGTGACTTAATATTGTTCTAACGTATCCCCGTGTAGATGGGAAACTGAACCTTGAAGTTGAAAACAGAAAAGTGTGATATCTGCTATTGGACTGTTGGTGTGAAATCACTCCCGCGGCGCACATATGCAGAAACAGTGCTGTTACAAACAGACTTCGGGAAAGGACAACAAAGGATAAAAAGTGAAATTCTGGGGGATGGGGTGGGGGTGGGGGGAGTCATCTTCGATTACATTTAGTCAACAACAGTTACGGTCCTGTTTGAAAAGCCATTAGGTCGTCCGTTAGAAGGCAAGGTGAGCCCGGGCCGGGCGTTTATGTCTCACTCACTTTGTCTTCAAAATGAAACGGGCATTGAACCATGGCTACAGTAATGCTATTGTTCTGGTTAATGTCAACACTCCGGTTCGAGTGCATGACTCACTGTCGGCAGACGTGAAGTGGCTACACGGTGCGCATATTCAGATGTGTTCATTGAATCTGTTTTCTGCTTGTGATACAGGTTGTCAAGGTGGAACAGGATTTGCTCCGAGACTAATGTTGTTGTCTTTCATTTTTCATCCATTTTTTATTTTTATGAATGTAACTGCTAGGCTGTTTCCAAATCATCAAGTGTCTCCTGATCTCTCCACTGATCCGTCGTTTTCTACGTGATGTTTCATACCTTTTTTTTTTTCTTC